GATTTTAGATAATTAGATCATTAGATAAGAGTTGAAAAGGATCTTGGAATCTTGTCCCCTGGAAAGCTATCTGTATCCTGAGATACAGATGTCCCAGAAGTTCAAATGCAGCTTTAATCTATTAAAGTATACACTCTAGCACCAGCCCTGAGGTCAGGATGACCTGAGTTCAAATCTGGCCTCAGATCAAACACTTGACACTTACTAGCTGTGTGACCCTGGGCAAGTCACTTAACCCCAATTGCCTTTAAAAAAAATATTGCCCTTGGGGCTTCGGTTGCTATATTAGGGATCTGACTTTAATTAACATGCCAAATCCTATCAGGGCAGCTAGGTGGAGCACTGGATAGAGCTCAGGCCTTGGAGTCAGGAGGTCCAGAGTTCAAATGTGACCTCAGACACTTGACACTTACCAGCTGTGTGACTCTAGGCAAGTCACTTAACCCTGATTGCCTCACCAAAAAAAGAAGAATCCTGCTATAAAAAAATTCCATGGGATATTCTACTTATTGAATGTTGTCATTCAATTCAGCAAATATTTATTAATGTGCTAGGCACTGAGAATGTAAAGAATTTTTTAAAAAATTAGTCCCTTATACTTTACTAGGAAAAATGTGGTTGTTGCTTTTTTTTTTTCATTTTAAATGGTAGTTTCTTTTTTCCAATTACATGTAAAGACAATTTATAACATTCATTTTTAAATAAGATTTTGAGTTCCAAATTTTTCCCCCTCCTTCCTTCCCCTTCCTCCTCCCTAAGATAGTAAGCTATTTAATATAGGTTATATATGTACAATCATGTAAAATACAGAAAACATGTTATTTTTAAAAAATACAAAGTATTTCTTTATATTTCTTGATTTGTGTGTGTGTTTTCTTTTGCAACATGGCTGACATGGAAATGTGTTTTGCATGACTTCACATGTCTAATCGATATCATACTGCTTGTCTTCTCAAGGAGTAGGAGGGGCAAGAGGGAGGGAGAGAATTTGTAATTTGAAATCTTAAAAAAATGGATGTTAAATTTTTTTTATGTGTAATTAGGAGACATTTAATGAAATAAATAAAAATATATTAAAATACAAAGTATGTATGAATTGCCTTTCAGAAGTCGACTGGGAGAAATAGATTAATGAAGCCAATATGAAAAGTAGGTTTCTCTTTGCCCTGGAAGAGACTTCCAATCTGTGATTCCAGACCAATCATTCCATAGCACTAGAACAGAGACTTCAGGGAGACTGGGGCTCTCAGTTGGCCGAGGCAGCCCAAAGCCAGCTTTCATTCTTCCCCACCCATTTCTCCCACCCCCAGCTTCCCACCTCTTTCCCGGCTAAGGCTGCACTGACTCCAGCCAGAGCTGGCTTGCCAGAATCACTGTGGAACTAGGGCACAACTGGGAAGCCTTCTCAGGGACCTGGAGCAGGGCAAGACCAGATATTGCAGTGGAGACCAGCCTGGAGTGACCCTAGGTCAGACCAGCAGCTGCCTTGAAACTTTAGCATCAGGGAGACTGGCTGGTGGCATTTCCTCACTTGACATGCCCTCTGTTGTTTTGTTTTGTTGGTTTTTTTTTTCTGAATACGTGTTGGGCTGATCTCAGTGAATTCCAAACCCACAATCCTTTCCCTTATTCTTTCCCCCAGTGTATTAGCTGGAAGGAGATGTGATGACAGTGGTTAATTCAGCCAAGCAGTTTTTTGAAATAGTTTTAATTTTCAAAAGCTTTCTTACAGCTACTTTCATGGTGCTATCATTCTTTTATAGTTACACCCTTTTAATATAGCTTCAGACCACTAAAAAGTCAATCCTTTTAATATATCTTATGACCACTAAAAAGTCAAAAAAGCCTTATGAATGGAGTTAGTCAGAGAAGAGGGGGAGATTTCCCAGAAATTCAAGGCAGGGGCTCCAAGCAAAGATGAAAGATTTTCCTATTTTAGTAATTTTGTGCCATATTTCCGTGCATAACCCTAGACTATCTAGAACCAGAAGCCTGCAGCACTGTCCCATGAGCCCTAGAGATCCTGAGGATAGTGGGAGGAAGAATAGCTGTGCCATTTATATAGCACTTACTATGTGCCAGGCATTGTTCTAAGCACTTTACAATTATTATCTTACTTGATCCTCACGACAACCTTGAGAAGTAGGTGCTGTTATTGTCCCCATTTTACAGATGTGTAAACTGAGAGAAATAAAGATTAAGTAATTTGCCCAGGATCACACAGCTAGTAAGTGTCTGAGGCTGGATTTGAACTCAAGTCTAAAAGTGGAAAAAAGAGAGAATCCAATGGTGAGCGGGCAGATTACTTGGACCTTTGGCAAATATCCTCTGATACAGTTAGTAGCATAAGAACAGTGCCACCTAATGGCCAAATGTATATACTATTTTCCCTAGCTAGTTAATTAATTGACAACCTGCTTCTCTGTCTATACCTCGCAGAAGAGGGGAGGGGGCCATCTCCAGTCATCCTGATCTGTGTCTTGCCACTGGACCCAGATGGCTGGTGATTTAGCACAGCCCTCCCTCACTTAAATCCAATTCACTTGCAAGTTATGGCATCACCTTCCTGATGTCATGGTCCTCTTCTAGAATAAAGGACAAACAACATGTCTGACTCTTCATGACACCACAGACCATAGCACAGAAGACCTTTCTATCCTCTGCTATCTCTTTTTCTGTTGTTGCACTTAGTACTATTTTCCCCTTAATTATATGGAAAGATAGTTTTCAACATTCATTTTTGTAAGATTTTGAGTTCCAAATTCTTCTCCCTCCCTCCCTTTCTTCCCTCCCCCCCCAATCTATCCGATATAGGTTATACATATACAATCATGTTAGACGTATTTCCACATTAGTCGTGTTGTGAAAGAAGAATCAAAACAAAAGGGAAAAACCATGAGAAAGAAAAAAAACAAAGACAAAAAAATGAAAATAGTATGCTTTGATCTACATTTAGATTCCATAGTTCTTTCTTTGGATGTGGATAGCATTTTCCATTATGAATCTTTTGGAATTGTCTTGGATCATTGTATTGCTGAGAAGAGCTACGTCTGTCATAGCTGATCATCACACGATGTTGTTACTGTGAGCAATGTTCTCCTGCTTCTGCTCACTTCACTCGACATCAGGTCATGTAAGTTTTTCCAGGTTTTTTTGAAATCTGCCTGCTCATCACTTCTTACAGAATAAGAGTAATCTATTACACTCATACAGCACAACTTGTTCAGTCATTCCCCAATTGATGGGCATCCCCACAGTTTCTAATTCTTTGCCACCACAAAGAGCTGCTATCAATATTTTTGTACATGTGGGTCCTTTCCCCTTTTTTATGATCTCTTTGGGACACAGACACAGTAGTCTCCACTGTCTCTTGAAGTCTGTCCAAGTTCATGTTCATTGTTTCCATGATATTATCTATTTATCTCATTTTCTGGTGTCCTCTTCATTTTGCTTTCAATCTTTCCATACATCAGGGTATTTTCTAATGAATCCCATCTTTTCATTATGCAGCCAAAGTGTTTAAGCTTCAGCTTCAGTACCTAATCTTCCAGTGAATAGCCTGAATTAATTTCTTTAGGTGTTAACTGATTTGATCTCCTTGCTGTCCAAGAGACTCTTAAAAGTCTTCTCCAGCACCACAACTCGAAAGTGTCAATTCTGCAATTCTCACAGCACTCAGTTTTCCTTATAGTCCAACTCTCACAGCTATGTATTACTACTGGAAAAACTATAGCTTTGACTCTGTGGACCTTTGTCAACAAGGTGATGTCTCTGCTTTTTAGTATATTTTCCAGATTTGCCACAGCAATTGGGGTTAAGTGACTTGCCCAGGGTCGCATGGCTAGTAAGTGTCAAGCGTCTGGTCTGAGACCAGATTTGAACTCAGGTCCTCCTGACTTCAGAGCTAGTGCTGTATCCACTGGGCCACCTAGCTGCCCCCAAAAAGTATTATTCTGACAAAACTCTATTAGGTGGGGCAGTGAATAGAGCACCGGCCCTGGAGTCAGGAGGACCTGAGTTCAAATCAGGCCTCAGATCAGATACTTGATACTTACTAGCTGTGTGACCCTAGGCAAGTCATTTAACTCCAATTGCCTAAAAACAAAACAAAAAAAACCCCCCAGCTTTCTTAGTCTCTGTCCTCCTTCATTTTGTACTCCAAGGCCAAACTTGCCTGTTATTCTAATTGTCTTTTGATTTCCTACCTTAGTACTCCAATCCCCTTTGATGAATGGCATCTTTTTCTCATCCTTTTATTGACTATGAAGGCTACTCCATTTCTTTCTAAGGGATTCTTGCCCACAGGACTATATGTAGTGATTACCTGAATTAAATTCCCAAGGGGAAAGATAACACGGTCCACTTTGAATATGTTGAATTTGAGATGTCTATGAGACATCCAAGTAAAGATGTCTGACAGGCAGTTGAGGATTTAATACACAGATTTAGGATTCATTTGAATGAAGGTGATAATGAAACCAGATGATGAGGTCACCACGGAAGAGCATGAAGAAATGGATCAAGAAACATTTTCAGGCTCACTTATCTCCCTCTTTTCCAGACCCCTACAACATTTATAGTGTACCTCAAAATTAGCATTTGATTGAACACAGTCAAATCACAGACCTCCAAATCTTATTTTGTTTCACTCATTTGATTCTTTTCTGTCCCCTCCCTATCCCATCCACCAACTACTCTGGAGATTCCTTGAGGATAAGACAGAGGCTGTGTCCTACATAGCTATGTCCTATCAAACCACCCCCCACCTCACCCCAACCTGGAACAGCACTGTGGACATACAAAGTACCTGCATACTCACCAATTGTTGATTAAAGAGATTAGCCTAATTCTTCTATTGTCCCCAGATCTGGGACTTAAGGCATTCACAAAAGAAATAGATCAGGCAATGATGCTAAATGCCATACACTTTTATTATTGGCATAGTTTAACCTATACAAAGAAAGGCTTAGACCTAACTTGAAATATATATGAGACAGGAGGAAGCCAGGGTAAAGGAACAGGTGTCTCGGTTACTATAGGGACAAAGATACATTTGGGTCTTGTTTTTCAGTTGGGGGGTTGCTAGGTTCTGGGGTATAACAATCTTCGGGCCACTGGAGGAAGAAGGTTGTCAATGATTCTTTGAATCATTTTGCCTGCCCTCGGGACGTGGTACACCCAGGTTACACATACACAAAGCCCTAGTTGCTCCTTCTACTCCTACTAGTTCAGAAGAATACCACCTAAATTCCATTCTCCATAGCAGGACTGTGCAGTGGTAACAGGTTTTATATATGGTATGGTTGAGTGCAAGATTTGCAGACAGGAAAACCTGGATTTGAATGTTGCCTCGGATATTTTGTGACCATATGCTAGTCACTTCACTTCTGTGATGTTCAATTTTTTCATCTATAAAATTATACCTGTAGTACCTACCTCTGAGGAATATTGTAAGGTTTTTCAAAGAGGTCCATCTGAACTAGACGTTTTTCAGACTGCCACAACTATTCTAGCCTATGATGCAAATGACTCACAATGAAATGTTTTCCTCGTAGAGTGGTTATTACAGGAATAGAAATCAAGGAAAGGACCTGAACAGTATTGTTCATTGTATAGAATTCTTTGTAGCTAGATTATTTTTTTTCCAAAGGCCAGATATTGAACAATGGAAGTAGTTTTATTACATAAAACCTCTACATACTCAAATTAGTTGTCACAATGGAATTTTATCTATAACCATCTATATTAGGTCTAGCAATGAGGCTCAAGAATTCACCGAAATTCCTTAGAGTTTTCTCTGAAAGTTGTTCTACTCTTTTTTTTTTCTTCTAATGTTCAGAGGGCATGTGAAAAAAAGGTTCCTTTTTTTCCTCCAGTAATTGTGTCCCACAGTTTCCACGGACTCTTTCAGAAATACCAGTCATTGACTTTTGTGGGGGGACTATGTTTCTTTATGCTCATATTCTGTTTATAATTATGGTACCAATAATATTAAGGGGGTGAGAATGGAAGGAGGCCGAGAGTCAGAAGGGAGGATGAGAAGTAGGATTTAAAACTACTTTTTTTTTTCAAGTTTGAACGCCGAATGACTCAGCTCTTTAAAGAGGAGAGGTCCACAGGCATTATGTAGGTAAATAGTAATAGTGAAGGAAACTAGATCTTCAGAATATCTTCCCATCTGTCCTGTAGCCACTACTCTGTGTTCTCACTCAACTCCAGCTAAACTTTTATGAGCTCCCCCAAGAGTTTCTGAGGGCAGGAGCTGGTTTATCTATCTTCACATCCCACTCACTTTGCATATGTAGATACTTAATGTTTGTTGAACATTTGAACATGTTGAACACCACGTCATGTTGACATAACTGTCAAGCTTGTTCTGTTGAATGAATGACAGAATTCTGGTTCCGTCAGAAGCCTAACTCTTTTAGAGGTCATTAAACATTTTAAGGCTGCAGTATCAAGAGAATCATTGCTAATCTGTTTTGTGGAATATTTGAGGTATATACTAGGGATTTAAAAGTAGTTACTACCTCCCACTCACAAGGGAGAGAACATGATTTAGCCAGTTAGGGTTTGTGATGGATTCCAGGGACATACCCCACCCTCTCCTCCAACTTTGATTAGTGGGTTGAAGCCACTGCATTTGTCCTTTCCCAAACCTGTTGATAAAAACTCATCAGAGCTGATTCTTGGTTTGGGGAAAGGAGCTCCGGGCCATGCCTCAAAAGACCTCCTGTGCATTGTGCAAAACATGCCAAAGCTCTACTTATTTTGAGTTCTAGTGAACTAGAGAGCTCTGGTGGGGAGAGAAGGAGTTGGATCAACCACTCCTCAACAATGACTTAAATTAAGAAATTAATCCAGTTCCTCCTCAGCATCCAGTTTATAGACATACTGAACAAACAGATAATACAGAATGATAAGATAGACTCTTCTGACAACAAAGCTACCTATCAGTTGTCTACTTCTTGATGGGATCAAGGGGATTTTTTTTCTTCAACTGGAAGATGATGAAAAGGTCTTTTTTCTTTTCTTTTCTTGGCTTTTATTCAGTCTTAGATAAGCATTGGGCCTCACTAAATGGTCCCAAAGCAATCTTTTTTTCCCTGATGGTTTTTAGACGTTTATTGAGTGTTACTCTTTCAGGAATCTTCTGATCAAAGATGGGACTCCTACTGAAGGCATTTGGTGTAGGTGATCGCACAAGCTATAAGAGAAATATTGACACATGAATGCAAACACTGAAAAAATTTTAAAACAATAATATGACTCATGTAAAAGGTTCAAAAGAAAGCTTTATGTGCCTGCTCTTTGGAGAAGCTGATAGCACTCTACTGGAAGGGAGAGTCAGGATAAATACCTGGGGCTAGGTACTGCCTTTACCAGGGAATGAAACCAAATATGGAAACCAGACCACCTTACAAAATAATTAGACATCTTCCTACTGGCCTTTTGGAAAAACTGGTGTTATTGTTCGGTCGTTTCAGTTGTGTCTGACTCTTTGTGACCCCATTTGGAGTTTTCTTGGCAAAGATACTAGCGTGGTTCACCATTTCCATCTTCAGTTCATTTTACAGATGAAGAAACCGAGGCAAAGGCTTGCCTAGAGTCATACAGCTAGTAAGTGTCTGGGGTCAGATTGGAACTCAGGAAGCTTTTCTGACTCCACGCCTAGCGCTCTATCTACTGCACCACCTACCTGCTGGGTAAACTGTACTTTATGTCTTTTTAGAATTGAGGGGAAGAAACAACAAGGGAGAAGAAAACCATTGAAAACTGTGCCTAAAGGTTTAGTATCCTGGGGATCTGTCAGGCCTAACTGGTAAAATATGTCCACTTAGGCATAAGTTGACATGATGAGCTTTGGGGGAAGTCAAGAAAATTCCTCTGCACCCCCGCAAAGCTCCCCATCCGTATAACATTGACTGAAGTTCCTCCATTAGAGATTCATTCTTTCAAGTTGAACATTGCCTTCTTTATTAGAAATACAAATATCCTTGGGAAAGTTGTCACCCAACACCTTAGCATTCAGTTGCTTATGGATTTAAAGATGGAAGGGAATTTAGAGATCTTCTCACCTTATAGGTGAGAAAACAAACTCAGAAAGATTCATTGACTTGGCCAAGAGCACACTTGTAAGTGGCAGAAGTAGGATTTGAATCTAGGGCCTGGAGTCAGGAAGACTCAAATTTGTGAGTTCAAATCTGGCCTCAGATGCTTACTAGCTGTGTGACCCTGGGTAAGTCACTTAATCCTGTTTGCCTCAGTTTCCTTATCTGTAAAATGAGCTGGAGAAAAGAAATAGCAAACCACTCCAGTTATCTTTGCCAAGAAAACCCCCAATACAGTCACAACTGAATGACAAAAACAGGGTTGTTTTCGAAGAAGACCAATGATATCACAGGCTGATGTCTTCTTGACTTGTGCATAAATTGGATTTAAGTCAGGCAGAATGGGGAGGAGGGCAGGAAGCTTTTCTGGCCTTAGTAAAATCTTGTCTGGGGGCAGCTAGGTGGCACAGTGGATAGAGCACCGGCCCTGGATTCAGAAGGACCTGAGTTCAAGTTCCGTCTCAGACACATAACACTCACTAGCTGTGTGACCCTGGGCAAGTCACTTAACCCCAATGCCTAATCAAAAAAAAAAAGTAAAATCCTACCTAGTAGGTCAATGCATAATGTCTGTTTTGCTTATCATCTTCTCCATGGCAGGTTTCACCTAGAATAATTCAACCTTCTCATAACCAACTTAAATCATGCTTTGTTTGATCTTAATTTGTAACAATCTTTAATCTGAACCTCTTTTGGCTTTGCCTGATGTCATCTCTAAAAGGACCAGGAAGTAAACTCTGAACAGTGTAAAGGGAACTGAGTAGTTATGGACAATGGAATTGCTTTTGTGGAGAGAATTGAGAGCTGCCACAGGAAAAGAGATGGAACTAGAGATGGCCAGCCTTCAAAAAGCCTCTCCCCATCACAAAGGAAATCCCAAGACAGAGATATATGGAAAGGATGAGGTCACAGGAAAGGCTGGGAGGAGATGTCTGTACAGGAAGTGAAATGAACAAAGTCTTCCTTCAACCGAGCTGAGTGTTCTCAAACTCACCAGCCAGAAACGCATGTCTCAAGTCCTGTTCCCTGTGAAACTTGCACATGAACATAGAAAACAGTTCTTTTTTGAAAACTCCCAGAGGAAAAGGATGACTTGCTCACTACTTTAAAAAAAAAAAAACCAAAAGATAAAAAAACCACAAACTTTTGTCTTAACATTGGCTTTCATTTCCAAAAATATTCGTCCTCGTTTCCCTGAGTGAGACACCCTTTGTAACAAAGGATAAAAAAGAAAGAGGAAAAACAAAGCAGTGCAGGAAAACCAAGCAGATCAACCACATCTGACAGTATATGCGGTGTTCCACACCCGTATTCCCCCACCTCTGCCAAAAGAGGGGGCAGTGCATTTTTTCATCTGCTCCTTGGGGACCAAGTTGGGCATTATAATTATCTTTTTATTGTTGTTGTTATTACTGTTCTTTCCATTTACATTGTATATGTTGGGAGGAAACTAGACTAGAAGCAAATATTTAATAAGCACCTACCAAGTACCAGGCGCCGTGCTAAACACTTCATAAACATCGTGTTTGATCTGGGCAACAACCCTGGTGGTAGGGGCTATTATTATTCCTAATTTCAGGGCTGAGAAAACTCAGGCAGCAAGAGGTGACTTGCCCAAGATCATACAGCTAATAAATGTCTGAGGCAGGATTGGAACTCGGCTCTCTCTGGCTCCAGACTCAGCACTTTATTCATTGTGCCACCTAGCTACATATATGCAAATCTATCTGTCTCCTGGTTTTACTTCCACTTTGCATCACGTCATGTATCTTCCCATATTTCTTTTTATTCTTCATTCTTGTTTCTTACACAAATGAGATGCTTTACTTCTTTAGGACTCCCTATTGTGCTTCATACAGCTTCTTAGCATGTAAGCTTCATACACTTCAGAACACTTTAAGAATTCAAAGACCAACCCTCATTCCAGAGGACCAGTGATGGAGCTTGCTACCCACTTCCTGGCAGTAGTGATGGGCTCAGGGTATAGAACAAGACCAGATTTTTGGACATGGCCTATTCCTTACTAACATTTTGTTTTTCCCAAGTAGTGAGGGATGGTAAGAGGGAGAGAAAAAAGATTATGTTCATTGAAAAAAATCAAATAAACCTTAAAAAAAAAGAGGGCAGTACTTTTAGGAGGGTGGTATTTCTACTTAGCAGCATCTGGCATATGTAAATACCACCACGGTTGTTGGTAGTGAAAGTGTGGAGCATGATTTCCCCTACTCTGTCCATCCCAGAGTGAGAAAGGCTCCCAGAACAACCTTGCTGCTAGGTTTCACTCCACCACCCCCTTCTCCTTTCATTTCTTCTGATAACCATGTTCAAAGATATACTCCACCACCACCACCACCCCCCACCCTGTCTCCCTACTCCCCATCTCGTGGGCAAGTACATAGTAGAGGGAGCTGGGGAATCCAGAGCAGGAGTGTTTTTCAGGTGTTGGGGGAGGGATGGAAGGGGATGGGAAGAAAAGGGAAGAAAGGAGAGAGGAGGGGGAAGGGAGGAGTAAAAAGAGGAGAAGGGGGAAAAGGAAGGGAAAAGAGGAGGAAGAGAAGGAGAAAGTGGATAGAGAAGGGAAGACGGGAAAGGAGAAAGAAGGAGGGAAAGGGAGAGAGGAGGAGGGGAAATGAGGAAAGAGGACAATAAGGGAAGAAGGGGAAAAGAGGGGAAGGGAAAAGGGAGGAGATGGAAAGGAAGAAGAGAAAGTTATAGTCCTTTCTTCCACAGTTCCAGGATAAGTGAACTTTAAAATTGCACGTATTTGCAATTTTACGGCAATTACACCTGGGCAATAAATACTTATGATTTGGGCTAGTATTCTATTTATATAACATTAGTTTAAATCAGAGGTTCTCAAACTTTTTGGTGTGAGGACTCCTTTACCATTCATGCAAAAATAACTATAATAAATCCATTACATGTTAACATAAACATGTTGAACGAAAAATAACTATATTTTCCCAAACAACAAAAATTGAATGGCACTTTCACATATTTTTGCAAATCTCTAATTTATGGCTTAATGGATTCTCCTATCAGCTTCTGCACTCTATCTGTTGCGCTCCCGTAACGTGAAAATCCAGCCTCTCCCAGGTTTATAGTTGAAAAAGGGAGGAGTATTTTAACAGGCAAATAATGTCTTAATATTATTATAAAAATAGTTTTGACCTCAGGGTGTACTGACCACACCAGGAGAACCACGGCTTTAAAGGATTTTAACCTTCGCCCCTGGCATCAGGAACTAAAGGAGAGGACCGCCCTAGCAAGCGAGACCCCGCCCCCGCAAACCCAGGAGCCTAGAGCCCTTCTAGTGAGGGGAGCACAGCAGGGCGCAGAGCCGGATCGTGCTCCTTGGAAGGCCCCGCCCGGCCCGGCGTGCTGCGTCACTTGCGGAACTTCCGGGACTGCTTTTTCAGGACCGCAGCTGGAGGCCCAGACGGAAGAGGAGGAGCCCCGGCAGCTACCCTTTTTTTTTTTTTTAAACAGTCCCCAACATGGACGGCACACGTGTGTCTGCTTTAGCCATCTACCGCTTGCAGGAGCGCGCCGGCATCATCCAGAAAGAAAAACCCCGGCATCTGCAGAAGCCGAGAAAAGGACACCTCCTGTCTCTGTCCAAAGACATCAAGAAGCAGCAGAAGGGGAAGAAAAAGGTGAGCCTAACTAAGGCATGCCCCCAGGTAGGGCTAGAGGGACCCGAGCCTCTGCCAAAAAAAGATAATGACTTGAAACTGGAAGGGGAGCCCGAGGCAGGAGCTCCGCAGTCCAGTCCGCCTGCAGCCGAAGCAGAGAAACGGAGCAGGGGCCCAAGAAGGCAGAAAGCCCAGAATGAGCCCGCGGAGCCCGGAAGGGACCTGCCTCCGACGGGTCGGGCAGGAGAGGAGAGGGAGGTGGAACCGCCTTCTGCACCTGCAGCAGAAGCGAAACGGAGCGGGGCTTCAAGGAATCAGAAAAGCAAGAGACAGGCGGCGGAGCCCGAAAGTGCCCTGCCTCGGACTCCGACGGTTGCGGTGGGAGAGGACAGGGAGACGCGGCTGTGTCCTTCAGTAGTAGAGAAGCAGAACGGGGTCCCAAGGAAACAGAAAGTCAAGAAGAAAAGAGCTTCGCCTCCGACGGCTCCGGGAGGAAAAGAGAAGAAGGTGGAACAGTGTCCTGGGGCCGTAGAAAAACTGAGCGAGGGTCAAAGGAAGCAGAAAGTCAAAAGAGAGACGGCAGAGCCCGAACGAGTCCTGCCCTCAACGGCTCCGGGAGGAGAGAGGAAGGTGGAACAGCCTCCTGGGGCAGTAGAAAAACTGAGCGAGGGCCCAAGGAAGAAGAAGGTCAAGAAACAGGCAGCAGAGCCGGAAAGGGTCCTACCCCCGACGGCACAGGTAGAAGAGGAGAGGGAAGTGGAACCGTCTTGTGGGGCAGGAAAGAAGCAGAAGATTAAGAGACAGGCAGCGGAACCCGTAAGGGCCCTATCCCCAACCCCGACTCTTGCGGTGGAAAAACTGAGCCTGAGCCAAAAGCCTAAGAAAGTTAAGAGAGATAAGGCGGAGTCCCAAAGGGTTGCGGTGGGAGAGAAGAGGAAGGTGGAAGAAGGGGCGAAAGTAGAGCTGGTAGAGGGGCTTAACAGTTGCGGAGCGGGGTCCGGGGCACCCTTCCTGCAGCAGGTTCTCCAGGAGCTGGGCCATATTCCGCACAGCAAACGTCGGGCCGCCCGTCTCTTCGAGTGGTTGATCGCGCCGCTGCCTGTAGACCATTTCTTCAGCTGGATGTGGGAGAAGGACGCGGTGCTGGTCCGGCGGGGCAACCCGGATTACTACCGGGGCCTTTTCTCCACGGCAGAGCTGGACGCGGTGCTGCGCGGGGAGGACGTGCAGTTCGGGCTGCACCTGGACGCCGCGCGCTACCGGAACGGCCAGCGCGAGACCCTGAACCCGCCCGGACGGGCTCTCCCGGCCACCGCGTGGGCTCTGTACCGGGACGGCTGCTCCTTGCGCCTCCTGTGCCCGCAGGTCTTCTCTGCCGTCGTGTGGCAGGTGCTGTCGGTGCTCCAGGAGCACTTTGGCAGCATGGTGGGCGCCAACGCCTACCTCACTCCCCCGGGCTCCCAGGGCTTCGCCCCTCACTACGATGACATCGAAGCCTTCGTCCTGCAGCTGGAGGGGAGGAAACTCTGGCGGGTCTACAAGCCGCGGGAGCAGGCGGAAGAACTACCCCAGTTTTCCAGCCCTAACTTTGGACCCCAGGGCTTGGGAAAACCCGTGCTGCAAGAGGTGTTGGAGCCCGGGGATCTGCTCTATTTCCCCCGGGGCTTTATCCACCAGGCCGAGTGTGAGCCTGGGGTACACTCTCTGCACCTCACTCTGTCTACCTTCCAGCGCAATTCTTGGGGGGACCTGTTGGAACCCCTCCTGCCGGCGGCTTTGCAAGCTGCCGTGGAGGAGGACGTGGAATTCCGCAGAGGTCTGCCGAGGGACTACCTAGATTACATGGGGGTTCAGCATTCAGAATCTGGGGACCCTCGTCGAGGGCCTTTCCTGGAGAAGGTGCAGAGATTGCTTGCCCGCCTGGCACAGTATGCACCTGTGGATGCTGTGGCCGACCAGAGGGCCAAAGGCTTCCTCCACGACTGTCTGCCTCCGGTGCTGTCAGAGAAGGAGCGGGCACTGAGTGTGCATGGGCTGCCCGCCCGGTGGGAGGCCGGGGAGGCTTGGGATGTGGGGGCAAAAATTACCACTGAGACGCAGGTCCGCCTGCTTCGGCATGGTTTGACTCGCTTAGTGAGTGAAGATGACAGGGTCTTGTTGTACCACACCGTGGAAAATTCTCGAGTCTATCATCAGGGGGAGCCCAAGTACCTGGAGATTGACTCGCAGTACACAGATGGCATCGAGTACTTGTTCAGTTCCTACCCAGGTTTTGTGCAGGTGGGAGACCTGCCTTGTGATAATAGGAAGGACCAGATTTCCTTAGTGACCATGTTATTTGAAAAGGGACTGCTGATCACTAAGAAACCTCTGACCCCGTAGTAATTTTTTGTTGAGTAGAAGTGAAAATAAAGATGTGTTTTTGTTTTTACTTCCTTATTGAGATGTCTTCCCTTGGCAATCCTCTAACTATGCTTATACATACCTCTAAGGCTTTTTCCAAGGCACAGGTATCAGAAGGTGTCGGAGTGAAAGGGCCATCAGGATCTAGGTACATAAAGGAAAGAAACCACATCTGTAGAAGCAAAGCCTGGCCTATCTCTGTGCATTTGGCACACTTGCTATTTAATGCAAGTTTGCAGGACCAGCACAGTCTGTCTGATTTAGAATTTGAATAAACTTATTTTCATTCAATAGGTATTAAGTAAGACTTTTATGAAGAACTCTGTGCTTGGCTGGGGTAAATTCTAAATTTGAGTAAGACTTGATCCCTGCCTTGTTAGAGCCTATTTAAGTTCTATTTCAGAAAGTTAGGGGAAGGATTCTGTTTGAGAGTGAGGATTATGCATGAAAGATTCAGAATTCATTAAAATGCCAATGGATTTTTCCAATTAGGTTATATTGGATAGGCTTGGGAAAGAAGGTAGATCTAAAGTAGCAGCCAGAGGAAGTATCTGTGGGGTAGGACTGGCTGGGTGCCTCTTAGTTATTTGAACTAGGAGAATATTTTTTAGGGGGAGCACTTGCCCATTTCATTTACAGATAGTTGATAACTTGAAATTCCATTCATAAAAACCAATTCTCTATACTTAAGGGAACTTTGCCCTCCAGGCAGCATTATTGTCTTTGTAGTGTGCCCATCAGTTTTTTCTTTTTGTCGTTAATTAAAAAAAAATTTTTTTTAAATTTTCAGTTCCAAATCTACCTCCCCTTTTAAAAAGTTTTATTTTCAGTTCCAAATTCTTTCATTCCACTGCGGTCTCCCTTACTCACTGACGATGCAAGAAATACAATACCCACTGTAATTTTATAGAGTTAGGTTTTTTTTCCGCTCTATCCCTGTGCTTTACTCTGGCTGGGACTGAGATTAAGAAACAGGACAGTGAGTTCAAGTGCCCAAATTTATCAGGTGCTAATCTTTCCTTTAATTAGGATGTTAGATTGGCTGTTGGAGCTTGTTTTTTCATTTTCCTTTCAACTTTATCAATGTTGTGACATTGCTGTCGTCTGCAGTAAGCATTCTTATGATTGATTTTACTATAAATATTTTGCCTAGGATTTAGTTCCATAAAGGATGAACTATTAGGTAGACATCTGAATGAAGTTCCTGCCTCATCAACTCCAGGTCATATATCTGGCAAATGCATTGTTTTTTTAATAGGAATACATCTCCCTCTTTTATAAGCACTACATTACAAAGACCCTGTCTTCTACCACTCCTGGGACCTACCAAGTAAAGGAAGTAACCAGTAAGTTCAGTTCCACAGTGTAGTTAGTGGAAAGTATTACATTGGAAGTCAGAGGACCTAGGTTGAATTTGCCCTTCTGCTGTTGATCGGAGTCACCTTGGCCAAGTCTTTGTTGTCTGGGCTTTAGTTTTCTCATCTAAATAATGGAACTAAAATGGAAGAGGAAAAGTTGGGCTACCTGAACTCTAGTTTTACAGTCTTTATGGACTTCAGGGATGGGGATCCTGTGGCCTCGAGGCTGTACGTGGCCCTCTAGGTCCTCAAGTATGGCCCATTGTCTGAATCCAAACTCAGAGGGCCACACTTGAGGACCTAGAGGGTCACATAGGCCTTGCTAATTAGTAGCCTATTGGAAACAAAACAATAGGGAGACTTTAAATGGGGGAATGGTGGTATGGGGAGAAAGGGAATATGATCTGTAGAATAAGTAATACCCGGGAAAGTACCAGCCAATTCAGGAGCTTATAAATATGTGTCAATGACACATATTTATACTACAAAACTTACCTTTAAAAGCATCTTGGAAAAAGTCTACAAGTTGTGCTAAAGGTTTATCTTTTCTGGGGTGGCTGAGACAGATAAATCTTGCTTCTTGCCGAATGGTTTCAGCAATTTTCTCGATCTTCAGTATTTTATTGATGATCAAGTTTTTCTGGTTTAGTTCGGAAATCTAGGCAGAAAGTAATGAAGCTAAAACATCTGTACTAGACTGTAGAGGGCATTTAGACAGTTATGGAAAAACCTAAACCCAGTACTTGATTATCTAATCATGGGAATATGAAGGTCTATGTTTAAGTGAATTTTAGAGCTGGGGACTGTTTTGGAAAAACAGGGAGGAAGATGATACAGGAGGTATGGGAGTTGCATGTATAGAATGAACTGTATAAGAATAGTACATTAAGCTCAAGTGCCATCTATTTGCCAAAAGAGATTTTATTCTTTTTGGGGGGGGGCAATTGGGGTTAAGTGACTTGCCCAGGGTCACACAGCTATTAAGTGTCAAGTATTTGGTCTGAGGCTGGATTTGAACTCAGGTCCTCCTGACTTCAGGGCTGGTGCTCTATCCACTGCACCACCTCGCTGTCCCACCAAAAGAGATTTTCAAGTACAATAAATACTTATACCTACCACCCTCAGGTTATGTTATGTTGGGTGCTCTTGATCCCACTATCAGGAAAGAAATTTATGGGTGTTTGTGGCACTTGGACGGTCAGAGGTGTTCTGTTGTCTTGGGATTAGAGAAGCATATCATCCCTACAGAGCCAAAAGTAACCCAGACATTCACACATAGACCTGTGCATGAGGTTGGCTTGGTTTGTTTGTTTTATTTAAGAGTGAGGCATTAATGTGCATGTTTTACTTAAAAAGATACATGCATTTGGGAGCCTGGATGACGGCTTGGGAGTTTACAGGAGCAACTAGCTTTGGTCCAAGCCCAGGGAGAAAAATGACCCTGTTGTCTGAGAATGTGCACTGAAAGAAAATGCAAAGGCTTAGATATCCTAGTGCTTAATCATAGTAAAATGAGTTGTTTAATCAGAGAAAGTAGCATAAGGCAGGAGCTTTTGGATCCCTGGAATACTCCCTTCACTTTTTTAACAACCTCCTACTTCCCCAACTGCCTTTCACATTTCACCCCACAAATCCTTCTCATTGCTTTTTCCTTCCTCTTTGCAATTAAAGATAGGGTAAATTGGACTCCTTTTTACCGATTTTTCAACTAAACTTAAAAAAAAAAAGCATGAGGGGCAGCTAGGTAGTACAGTGGATAGAGCACAGGTCCTAGAGTCAGGAGAACCCAAGTTCAAACCCACCTTCAGACACTTACTGGCTATGTGACCCTGGGCAAGTCACTTAACCCCAATTGCCTTCCAAAAAAAATATATAAGGGTGCTATCTTTGGACAGCTAATCACTGAAAATCTAGATGTCAGGATTACTTTCTGGAAATTCACCTAGTTGTGGACAAATTTTTTGTAGCCCGAGACATTTGTTACATCTATGGGTAAGTGGGAGAAGTATGGACATACGCCATGGGTTTCTATATTTCTATATAAACACACACATACACACATGTATATGTGTGCATGTATGTGTGTATGCATGTTGTGTGTGTATATATGTTTATATCAGTGTAAATCAGTAAACATTAAGTGCCTACTGTGTGCCAGGCATTATGCCAAATGCTGGGGATACAAAGAAACACAAAAGGTAGTCCCTGCCCTCAAGGAGCTCATAGTCTAATGGGAGAGACAACATGCAAACAGCCTTGTTCAGACAAGCTATGATAAAGTGGATGTATAGAAAGGAGGCACTAGAATTAAGGTTGGGAATGGGGTGCACATACACCATGTGTGTACCCTATGTAGGTGTATAAGTGTTCACATCTGCCAGAGAGAATCCAAAACCCAGTTTCCGGCCATGAGCACAGCCTCCACAGGGCTACCTTTTTCTTTATCTCTTGAAGCATGTCCTGGTTTCCTTCGTCTTGTAAGTGAAGAATCTTCATTGCATTGTTCACTTCCCTAAGGAGGAGACAATAGAAGACCTTATAGGAAAGAGACTTGTGAATCTCCAGGGGGAAAAAGCCAATTGTGTAGGAATGTTATGTGGTGTGCCCTCATCTCAGTTCATGACACTGCTGGTACTTAACTGGGTAAGAGGCAACATTGAGCAGAGGAAGAGGGCCTGCCTACCAGCCTGATGGTGAAGTTACCTGAGTGACCAGTGTCCTTGAGTCCAGCTGTATCGCTATTTGGTGGAGTCAGTGATCTGGTGGGTGGGCCAATGCCTATACTCTTCATTAACAGCCTGGGAAGGAAAGGAACATTCTACAGAGTGTGAGGCTCTGGAGGTCCTTTGAACAAGGTATCAGGGGAGTTGGAGAGCACATATTTTGTGATGCAGAGGGTAGGCTCTGAGAATTATAGGAGCCAGCATGGTATGGTAGAAAGAGCACTAATCCTGAAGTCAGATGCTTGGGATTCAGATCCCACCTCTGACACTTACTTTTGTGACCTTAGACAAGTCTCTTAACCTCCCTAGGGTTCTGTTTCCTCAGCTTAAAAATGTGGAGTTAGATGTTTTGGTTTTTTTGTTTGTTTTGTTTTTTATTATGTGAGGCAATTGGGGTTAAGTGACTTGCCCAGAATCACACAGTTAGTGAGTATTATGTGTCTGAGGCCAGATTTGAACTCAGGTCCTCCTGAATCCAGGAGTGATGGTTTTTGTGGCAGCTAGGTGGTGTAGTGGGTAGAGTGCTGTGCCTAGAGTCAGGAAGACCTAGGTTCAAATCCAGCCCTAGACACTTAATATCTGTGTGACCCTGGGGTAAATCACAACCTCTGTTTGCCTCAGTTTCCTCATATGTAAAACAGGGATAATAATAGCCCCCACCTCTCAGGATTGTTGTGAGGAGCAAATGAAATGTAAAGTGCTTAGAACAGTGCCTGGTACATGGTTGACACTATATAAATGTTAGCTATTATTATTAGTGGATAGAGTGCTGGGCCTGGAGTCAGGAGGGCCTGAGTTCAAATCTGGTCTCAAACATTTTCTAGCTATGTGACCCTGGGCATTTCACTTCACCTGTTTGCCTCAGTTTCCTCCTCTGCAAAATGGGGATAATAGTAGCACCCACTTCTCAGGGTTGTTGTGAAGATCAAACAAGATAATATTTATAAAGTGCTTAGCACAGTGCCTAGCACATAGGAGGCACCATATAAATTCTTTTCTTCCCCTCCCCCATCCAGCTCTATGTCTTTGTGCTAGAGGACTTACCTAAGAACAGCCTCATGGCTCTCTAGGAGGAGCACGTCTAGGAAGGTGTCTCGGATTTTGTCTCCCTGAAGTTGAAGGGCAATGATGCTCCTACAGGCTTCTAGTCGCACACCTGGTTCCTCCTCATAGTGGATAGCCCAGAGCAAGAGGTCTGTTAACTGGGGACTTACAAGGCCAATCATTCTTAAAGCTGCCAAGAACAGACAACAATCATTCTTTGTTACTTAGAGCTTTGTCCTTCAGAAGCAGGGTTAGGGAGCATTATAAGTAGATGAAATATTAGTAGATGATCTGAAGTCACTATGACTCAGTTATACAAGGTTTAGTGGTTGTCTTTTCTATTTGGCACCACTGGTCTGGAACACCAAAACATCAGATAATGTGCCCTGAGTCATTATAGCCAGTACGTTATCAGAAGTGGGACTTGAACCCAGGCCTTCTAGGTTCCAAGGGTAGTTCTCCCTTCACTATGTCATGTTGCTTTCTTAGATAAATACTAGATAATGTGTTTGTGATTTATAAACCTAAAACTTCTAACTAGTCTGTAAATCTTTTTGTTCTTTTGAGGCAGTTACTGGCACAGTGGGTGAGTGGAGTAAAGCAGATGGATATGAGAGATGCAGAGGTAGAATTGATAAGATTTAACAAATGAATAGCTATGAAGGCTGAAGGAGAATTTATAGGACTATAAATCTAGAATTCGAAGGGATCCCAGACACCATCTGATCCACTTGCTCACTGCATTTTACAGATGAGGAAACTGAGGCCCAAGGAGGTTCAATGACTTGCCCAAGGTCACTCAGAGTAAGCAGCAAAGGTAAGATTTGATCCTAGGTTCTCGGATTCCAGAGCCATTCTATAAGGCTGCCTCCCTTGGGAAGAATCGAAGATGACTGAAGTTATGAACTTGGTCCATAAAAAGGGTAATGTTGCCTACAGAAGTAACAGGGAAATTTGGAGGAGAAATGAGTTTAATGGGGAAGATAATGACTTCCATTTTGGATTTGCTGAGTTTAAGACCCCTGTGGGACAATCCCAGTCAAGAACAGAGTTCAAGAGCAATATTAGGGATTAAGATATATGGGCTCAAGACATATGTTGTATTTGTATGAATGAATATTTCTTCTGGTTTTGCTTATTCTGCCTGAGTTCATACCTATCTTCCTAGGCTTCTCTGACTTTCAACTTTTCATCATTTCTTATGGTATAGTAATTTTCCATTCATATACAATAATTTGTTTAGCCATTCCACAATTGAGAAGAATCCACTTTGTTTCTAGTTCTTTGCTACAACAAAAAGTGCTGCTGTAACATTTTTGTAAATATGGGATCTCTCTCCCTCTCTCTCTCTCTCTCTTTCTTTCCCTTCCCTTCCCTTCCCTTCCCTTCCCTTCCCTTCCCTTCCCTTCCCTTCCCTTCCCTTGCCTTCCCTTCCTTTCCCTTCCCTTCCTTTCCTTTCCTTCCTCCCCTTTCCCTCTCTCTCTTTCCCTCTCTCTTTCTCTCTCTCTCCTTTTTAAAAAATCTCTTTGGGGTATAAGCCTAGAGTTGGTATCACTGGATCAAAAGGCATGCACAATTGAGTGCCTTTTGGGATATGGTTCCAAATTGCTTTCCAAAATGGTGGATCACTTCCCACCTTCACTTCAACAGTCCACGAGTGTTGTCTTGTCATACCATCATCCCTCTAACAATTGTCACTTTCCTTTTTTTGTCATCTTTGCCATTCTAAAAGTGTGAGCCAGAACCCTAGAATTATAATTTGTATTTCTCCCATTATTAGTGATTTGGAATATCTTTTCTTTTTCTTTTTTCCCAATTCTGTGTAAACAAAAATTTTTAATATTTGTTTTTTAAAATTTTGAGTTCCAGATTCTTTCCTTCCCTTCCTTACTCCCTCCTCGAGCACACAAGCAATTTGACATAGATCATACATGTTGCAATCATTTAAGACATTTCCACATTAGCCATGTTGCAAAAGAAAAACACAGCCAAAAAATCCCAAGAATGAAAAAAGAGGGGGTGGAGCCAAGATGACAGTGAAAGCAGTGACTTGCTTGAGGTCTCCCCCAAACCCCTCCAAATACTCATAAAAAATGTCTCTAAACAAATTCTGAAGCAGCAGAACCCACAAAAAGACAGAGTGAAACAAACTTCCAGCCCAAGACAACCTGGATGATTGATCAGAAAGGTGTATCGCTCCGGGCTGGGAGCACAGCGCAGCTTGGGCGCGCAGGCCACAGCAAACCTGGAGCAGGCCTCAGAGGACTGAATCACGGGCAGCTGTGGAGGTTTCCAGACTCCTCAATCCATGAATGCCAAAGAGAACTTAGAAGGTCAGTGGGAAAAGTCTGTTTCTGTCAGTGGTCAGAGAGGAAGGTGGGGTCTCAGCTCCATTCCCCAAGAGCCTGGTCCTGGGGGGGCAGCTGCTTCCCGAGCTTCCGGCCCACAGACTGAGGGGGAATCCAGTGGCTGATCAGAGAGGGACTGCAGGGATCTCTTTGCCAGTGCCGAGGCAGGAATCTTTTGTTTTGCCCGTGTGTGGATCTGGGTCACAGTTCTGGGCGGCAGTGCTGGGGTGAGGAGGAGCGCTGGCTTGGTGGAGCTTGTAGTGGCTGTGGAGAGAAACCCCTCCTCACAGTTACAGGACAGAAAGGAATACTTGTGGTCACAGGCCAGGAAAGGAGTAAACACCTCGCCCCTTATCATACCACCTTGCAAGAACTGAAAATTTACAAGTCCCTACAAGTATCTCTGAAAACAGTTACACAAACCCCTGAAGCTTGGGACAGTACACTGTCCACATTAGAAGCAGACTCTTACCTTAACAAGGAGTTTAAAACTCAAGTAATTGGCTGGGATCATGAGCAAGCAGCGCAAAAAGAGTCAGACTATATTATCTTACTTTGGTGAAAAAGAAGATCAAAATATACAATCAGAAGAAAACAACAAAATCAAAGCTCCTACATCCAAAGCCTCCAAGAAAAATATGAATGAATCAGTCCCAGGCCTTGGAAGAGCTCAAAAGGGATTTTGAGAAGCAAGTAAGGAAAGTAGAGGAAAAACTGAGAGTGATGCAAGAAAATCACGAAAAACAAGTCAACAGCTTGCTAAAGGAGACCCAAAAAATCCCAAGAATGATAAAGAAAGCTTTTTTTAAAATCTTCATTCAGACTCTATCAATTCTTTCTCTGGAGATCATAAATCCTTTGGAAATGTCTTGGATCATTGTGTTTCTGGGAGTAGCTAAGTCATTCACATTGTACAATATTAGTGTTACTGTGTACAGTGTTCTGGTTCTGCTCATCTCACTGATCAGTTCATGTGAGTCTTTCTAGGTTTTTCCAAAAGCATCCTGCTCACCATTTCTTGTAGCACAATAGTATTCCATCACAATTGTATACCACAATTTGTTCACCCATTTCCCAATTTATGAACATCCCTTCAATTTTGATTTGGAAAATTTTATAAGATTGCGTGTAACTTGAATTTCTTCCTTTGAGAACTGAATGTTTATATTCTTTGACCATTTATCCATTGGGGGAAACGAAGTTCCATGATGAAAAATGACAAATCCATGAGTACTATGGTTCCAGGGAGAAGGAAGAATGGCAGAGTTCTTAACTGCCCTTAACTACACACCTCAGTTACAAGACAAGAGAAATAATCTGGGTCTCCTATACCTCAGCCAATAAATGAGACATATTAAGATATTTGCTAGCTCCACTGGGGTCATCTTACGTCTTAAGAAAATTACTAGTCTATAACATAAGCTTATAAATAAGCTTTTTGAAGGCATGGACTATTTTGTTTTTCTCTTTGTATCTCCAGCATCTAGGATAGTGCATGGCATATTACAGGTGCTCGACGCTTGCTGAATTGAATTGAATTAAGCACATGAACTGTATCTTTTTTAAGTTCCCAGTTCTGGGTATGCTTCTAGACTAGGTTATAAGTAGTCTGCGTTTGAGATGAGCCACAAGTATGGCAACCCACAAAGTAGTTGTTTCAGTATAAATAATTTTATTACTTTTTGTTAATTTCGAGTAAAGTTAAACAATACTTGTGTGGCCCACTCCAGTATGCTGTGCTTATATGATTAGGGTCCACTGAAATATAACACAGAGAGAGAAGAATAACCTTTCCCAGTATTTGGGGGCATTAGCCATAAGAGGTTAACTGAATAATTCTACATAGACCATACCCTTAGTTTAGTGAGGCAAGGCTTTCTGCTTATAAGAAGAACAGCACCAAGAGCTAGAAGTACCAAGTTCTGAGGGCTTTAGAGGGATTAAAATTTCCTCAGACTGTCCAATGGTGTTGGGTGGAGTGTATAGCCAATAGAATGAGCTTAGAATTGTCGAGAGTCTGGTCATTGTTGTTAAACAGTGCTTAGCACAGTGCCTGGCACACTGTAGGCACTCAATCAATGCTTGTTCCTCTCCCCCCTGCCCAGATACACGAGCTTCTGTTTTCCACCTTGAATTGGCTGTGCTCTGCGCCTGAAATGCACTACCTCCTGACCTCCAGCTTTTGGTCTCTTTCAAGGCAGCTTAAGTACCACCTGAATAGAGGTCCTGGATCCCTTGGGCAGAGCTCTGGGACAACTCAGCAGTCATGTTCAGTGGAGGACCTGCACACGCCAATGGTGGCTCGAGGGCTTTGTGACAGAGATGTTGTTTAATCTGGGCAGGATGGAGCTCTGCTTTCTGTTATTTAGAGACAGCCTTTGCTCTGGAGTAACATAGGTATTGGCAACGTGTGCTACTGTCCATTTGTGGTCAGTTTAGAGGGATCGAGAAAAGGGGGAGCTGGCTTCACCCAGCTGGGCATAACAGTACAGAATCAGTGAATTCAAAAGTCGAAACAGACTTCAGTGACCGTATACTCCAACCCATACATGAAAGGAAACCCCAGTTTAACATACCTGACAAGGAATTGCCTAGCCCAATAGCGTTGAGGCTGAAGGTTCCCCACCCCTGACCTAGCCTCTGTTTCAAGACCTCCAGTGAGGAGGAACCCACCTATTGATTAAGTGATCCCTATCACTTTTGATTTAATATTTTTTACCCAATTATATATAAAAACAATTTTTAGCATTCATTTAAAAATTTTTTTTGCATTCCAAATTTTATCCTCCTCCTCTCCCCCATTGAAAAGGCAGCAATTTGATATAAGTTATACATATGCAGT